CTCTCTTTATCTCTCTCTGCCCCCATCTCTCTCTCTTTATCTCTCTCTGCCCCCATCTCTCTCTCTTTATCTCTCTCTCTCTTTCTCTCTCTCTCTCTTTCTCTCTTTATCTCTCTCTGCCCCCATCTCTCTCTCTTTCTCTCTCTCTCTCTTTCTCTCTTTATCTCTCTCTCTCTTTCTCTCTCTCTCTCTTTCTCTCTCTCTCTCTTTCTCTCTCTCTCTCTCTCTCCTCTCTCTGCCCCCATCTCTCTCTCTTTCTCTCTTTATCTCTCCTTCTCTCTCTGCTCCCCTATCTCTCTCTCTCTTTCTCTCTTTATCTCTCTCTCTCCTCTCTCTGCCCCCCATCTCTCTCTCTCTCTTTCTCTCTTTTTCTCTCTTTTCCCTCTCTCTGCCCCCCTCCATCTCTCTCTCTTTCTCTCTTTATCTCTCTCTCTCCTCAATCTGCCCCCTCCATCTCTCTCTCTCTCTTCTTTATCTCTCTTTTCCCTTCTCTCTGCACCCCCTCCATCTCTCTCTCTTTCTCTCTCTCTCTCTCTCTCCCTCACTCACACGTGTTTTCCACCCACTCCCTGCCTCTTTCTTACTCTGTTTCCTTTTTTTGCCTTCTGGTGGGCGTGGCATCTCGTCTGAAGGTTTATCTTGGTCCTGTCGTTAGTAATGGCATCCATATAAAAAATAGACTTTCATTTCAGGCATTTAAACCTTTCTTGTGGTCCCTCCCTCCTTCTATTTCTATATCTCCTCGATTTTGAAATACATATATATATGTGTGTGTGTGCGTGTGTGTGTGCGTGTGTGTGTGTGACTATACATATATATATATATATATATATATATATATATATATATATATATATATATATATATATAGAGAGAGAGAGAGAGAGAGAGAGAGAGAGAGAGAGAGAGAGAGAGAGAGATAGAGAGAGAAAGAGACAGACAGACAGACGCAAAGAGAGAGAGAAAGAGACAGACAGACAGGCAGACAGAGGCAGAGAGAGAGAGAGAAAGAGAGAGAGAGGAGAGAGAGAGAGAGAGAGAGATACAGACAAACAGAGAGAGAGCGAGAAAGGCATGGACAGAGAGAGCGAGAAAGATAGAGAGAGAGAGAGAGAGAAAACAAAATGTATAAGCGTCCCAAGCGGGCAACTGTCATTACATTGCCAAGATATTCCGGTATGTACAGCCCCTTGACGTAGCAATAACTAAATCCAGAGACATTTTACCCCATTTAAAGACACGAGATACGACAAGAAAGAAAGAAAAAAAAAAAAAAACAGAACAAGTATCGAGACACACGTTTTCTCAACCATGCATATAATCTAATCATCATTAATCACATATGAATAAATTATCGTCTATCTTACAAGAAAAGGAAAATGATAATAAAAAAACAAACTCCATCAGAATAATCTCAGGAGAATTTATTCACTTCCGAAGATGAAGACATTAACGCTAAAACGAGATCGGCGAGGAGGCTGGAGCGTATCCAGATTTGCGCAGCTGTGCTCACTGTTGCTCTTAAGAATAAAAGAGAGAGAGAGAAAGAGAGGGAGAGAGGGAGGAAGAGGGAGAGGGAGTGAGAGTGGGAGGGGGAGGGAGTGAGAGAGTGAGTGAGAGAGAGGGAGGGAGAGGGAGAGAGAAAGAGAGGGAGAGAGGGACAGAGATAGAAAGAGAGAGAGAGGGACAAAGACAGAAAGAAGAGAGAGAGAGCGAGCGAGAGAGAGAGAGAGAGAGAGAGAGAGAGAGAGAGAGAGAGAGAGAGAGAGAGAGAGAGAGAGAGAGAGAGAGAGAGAGAGAGAGAGGAATGTCAAATTATCTCGAATTTAATAGGAACGATTTGAGGAAAGATTTTTTCCCCCGAGAATAGAGGAAATAAGGTTTGAGTATACGATGAGAGAATGCTTGTCTGTTAAATAATAAGAAAATGACTCTTTCTCTATTTTACCCTACTTCTTTTTTCTTCAAATATTAAAAGTACATGATCCACAACAACAGTACCTTTAATATCAATAATAATATTGATATTCGTCTATTGACAATAACAATAACTTCAAAACAACAATATCGACACTACTAATAACAACACAATTATTCTAACCATGATACTTATAACAACAAGCATTAAACCGGTAACAGTTAATTAATTGCATTATTCAACTCAATTTTTTTTCTTCTTCTTCTATTCGTCTCGTGATGTCGCTCAAGCAGAAATATGTGAGAAAAATCCACAGGTATCTCCATTTTGGCGAGACATCGGGTCTGTGTGGATTGCGGTGGCTGTGCTGGCGCCTCCGTCAAGAAACGGGGATGATGGTGGGGGTGGTGGGGGGGATGGTGATGGTGGGGTTGGTTGTGGGGGGGGGTGATGATGGTGGTGATGGGGTTGGGGATGGTGGGGGTGATGGTGGGGGTGATGGTGATGTTGGTGGTGGTGATGGTGGGGATGCTGGTGGGGTTAGTGGTGGTGGGGGAGGTGGATTGGGTTAGGGATGTTGATGGAGGTGATTGTGGTGTTGGTGGTGATGGGGTTGGGAGAGATGGTGATGGTGGGGATGGTTGTGATGGGATGTGTGGTGGAGGTGGTGGTGATGGTGGTGGGGTTGGTGGTGGTGATGGTGATGGTGGAGGGGGTGTTGGTGGGGGGTGAGGGTGGGGGTGATGGTGAGGATGGTGGGGGGGAATGGTGATGGTGGGGGTGATGGTGATGGGGTTGGTGGGGTGTTGGTGGTGGTGGGGGGGATGGTGGCGGTGTGGTTAGTGGGGGGGATGGTTGTGGTGTTGCTGGTGATGGGGTTGGTGGTGGTGATGGTGATGAGGTTGGGGATGGTGGGGGTGTTGGTGGAGGTGATTGTGATGGGGTTGGGGTTAGTGGTGTTTGTAGGGGGTGATGGTGGTGATGATATTGGTGATGGGGTTGGTGGGGGTGGTGGGGGAGACGGTGGGGGTGGGGTTGGGGTTGGCGGTGTTGATGGAGGTGATGGTGATTGTGGTGGGGGTAGTATTGGGGGTGTGTGGTGATGGTAATGATGATAATGATGGTGATAATATATGTATCATTTAGCATTGTTGTTGTCAGTAATAAAATTATCATCATCATTATCATCATTAGTATCATCATAATTATCATTATTATCATCATCATTATTATCATTATGATTATCATCACTAAAATTAGAATTATTCCCTTTCTTCCAAGGGGGCTCTCTATCTATCTCTTCGTATTTATATTCTATCTCATGTATTTCTGACGAAGATATAATCGAAACCGGTCAAATACATCTCTTGTATTGTGAAGATATTCATTCTCATTCATACCTTTTCTACGTAAATAAAAATGAATAAATTTCGTGTTACCTTTGATATTCTTCGCATTTATGTTGATTGTAAACTAAAATAGGAACACCATTTTTCCCCCTAGATAATATATAAGTATAAAATATCATCTTATTGTTCTGACCTGAAGTGTGGAGTTTAATCTTTAATATTTTCCGAAACTTCGTCAAGAAGGATAAATCTACTATTTTATCTGATCAGTGGTAGTTATGTTTCCCGACTTTCAAGTTTTCTGTGAAGATAAAAAATTCTCATTTTTAAGGAAGAAGTGAGTTCAAAGTAGAAATAAATCCCGTGTTCTGGCAAATTAGATTTTGAGCCTAATAATTTTAACCGAATGGGATACGTGGCTATTAATATTTTTGTCTTCGCGCCAGTTAAATCTTCCTTATCTTCACCGTTTATGCTGTCAACACAACAGCTTAAAATCAGATAAATTTATCCCTGCTTTACATTTGTTATTGTTCATCTATATGTTATTTCTTGGCGTGATTTTAATATTCCTTGTGGTTCTTCATTTTTTGTCATTTTGTCACATTATCTTTTTATTTCAAAGCTTTTTCGTAATAGAAAGATATTACTTGCAAACTTACTCACAAATTTACTTTTATTCAACTCAGTCTCTCTCTCTCTCTCTCTCTCTTGTTTTTTTTATATATATCTAGTATGGTAAAACATCGTTACTTTATTGTCGTTAGTAATGGCCGTTTAATAAAATCACTTGTTGAGTTTATGTAATAAATATTTCCTAATCATAATATATTATTGATTATTCTAGATGCATTTACGAAATCATAAAAAGGTTTATCGCCAAACATTATCTTTAAAAACTATTGTTGACGATGACCATCTTTCTTTACCGTTGTCAACCAAAGTCATGCGTATCTAATCCTTTTCGTAAATCACTTTATCGAATGCTATTAATGAAGGTCGTAAGCGTATTTATCTTTCTCTCACGATAAAACATTTGTCTTTAACCTTTAACTCCTATTAACGAAAAAAAACACCTGTTCATCCATCACTCTAAACCATCATTCTTTAACGTACTACTGTTAACGAAAACCGCCAATTTACCATTCATCATTGAGCCTCGTTATTTTATCTTTTATGGTTAGCGATGACCAAGTAGTCATCTCTCGCTACAAAACTTCATTCGTTAGTCTTTTGGTGCTAACGAAGGCCATCTGTCTATCTATCATCACAAACCATATTTCATTCACCTATTTCTTATAACGAAGACCATTTATCTATCTATCATCACAAACCACAATCCGTTAATCTATTCCTAATAACGAAAGCTTATTGATTCATCTTGACACATCACAATTCGTCAATCTATTCCGCTTAACGATTTATCTATCACCACAAAAAACCATAACTGGTTAACTA